TGATTAAACCATCCATCACTTAAACTCTACAAGACATTATTTCTAATTAAAAAGTAAGTCATAAATTGCAGCATTTATTGCCAGGCCGTGGATGTAAATAAAACTCAAGGGAGGGCCGAACAGATTGCATCCCCTGTCCGCGCTTTAGAGCCACCGTAAAAAGGACAGACGGGTGTGATGGCACCTTTGGGATCCTCACATGCACACCGACAGCAGGGAGGAGCTCGCCGCTTCACCCATATGCAAATCAATAACTCCTCTGCTCGTGTTTTTATAAGACAGGCGAAGGAGCAAAGCATGCATGTGTAAGAGCAAATATGCAAATTGCATTTTCATAAACCATCTGGGAATATGTAAAAAGGAACAGCGGCCAATGTACTTGAAAATGATGTATAATCATAAGAGGTCATGAAGGTGTATGAAAGTGCTCCATCACTAAACTGGGCTGGCAGACACAACAAGCACCCATTATCTACCTGTGTCTCCATTTTTCCTCTGCTAAACAACAATTTTGCTGCCAAATATGCAGTCGCAGGGCATTATTTAATGATCCCTGTTGATAAAGAGGCCATTAGCACACCTACACTGCAGCCAAAGCTGTGATGGAGCAGAGCGAACACAGAACACACAGTCAGAGCAGACGCAGCTCCGAGTTGACAACTTCTGATTAACTCGACGTGCGCGCTGCTTTTCAGCCGCTGAACCCCCGACAGCCACTGGCAGAGTGGTAGCATGTGGGTTATTTTTTGACGGGCACAGACGGATGTCTGATTTCACAGGTACTAGCCAAAAGGGAGGGAGGAAATGGAAAAGGAAAACGAAGAAAGGGCATGTCACGGCCTCCTCAGCCTCCACAAAGGAAAGCATGTGCAATCATTATTCATCTGTCTCTGTCACTTCTCCTGGGCTCATGCTTTTCTATACCTGCCAGAATGAGAGGACCACACACACCTTCTGAGTCATATTCAGCTACGAGCCAGACAGGTTCGTCGCCAAAGTGAAGGAAGTGGCCTTGGTGTTGTTGAGAGACAGAATCAGTGTCCAAGAGGGGGGGGGGAGAACTAATGAGTGAGCTAAAAAGGACAAGATGGAGTGATCCTCTATAAAAAGACCAGCAGTAATCTCTTCCTCTCCTCTACCCTTAATGTCCTGAGAGATCTCGGTTTCCTCTGCAAAGCCTCTGCACATCAAACACGGCTGATTAGAGCCGCACACCTCGCTGCAGCTAAAGCCTTGGACAGGGTGCACACGCAGTTCAAAAGAGACACCAAAGAGGAAGAACTCTGCAGGTTAGAGGCTCATCTCCCTGGACTTGAAGCATGTCTGAAGCTTCCTCCACATCAATGTGCAGCAGCAAATGGAGATTTCCACTCATCATATCTCAAACACAATGCCTCGGAGCTTACATAGCATCGGCGTCTTTCAAATGAAGGCTGCTTTGGACTCTTCTGTCATGTCAGATGATATCCAGTGCAGCGTGAGCAGGATTTAATTGTCATCAACAGATCGTACTATTCGTTAACGTCGGCATAGATGGTCAGGGAGAGGAGGGGGCACATGAGGAAGAGGAAGATGCTGCTGGGCTGTCAGGATGTTGTTTTATTGAGACACACAAACTGTCAGGGCAGGTATCAGGAGAGCAGACGGCCACATGACAACACTCTTGTCCTAACATCCTACAAACCCCGTCTCATCCTGAAATAGCTCTGTCCAAATTCACCGTATATTTCTCTGTCACACTTTGAGGGCACAGCGTGAGGAAGAGTCTCTACATATCCAGCCTCGTGAAGCATTCACCCGCATCGCCCTCTGGGACTGAGGAGACGGTGGCACTGGAATAACAATGTTCAGGCTTCACTCTCTTCTCTCTGACATCTAGTTACCACATTACACAATTCAGTTACTACTTAAACTTGGATTTACTTCATGTGCGCACCAATGTTTGCTGTTTTCAGGCACAGGGCACCTTTTTGATGGAATGAAGTGCACTTCAGTCCTGTTCTAGGCTCTGTTTGTCTTCCAGAACAGTTACAGAAGAAACAAGTGTATTTTTAAATAAACGCAACATAATCATCATTATTAAAAGGAATTACATTTTCCCACCTGTGTGTTAAATGTTTCAGCTAAATTGTGTTTGTTTAGGTTAGCATGACTCTGTCCAAAGCTAATCTACCAGCACTTCAAAAACATGCAGAGGTTTTTCTTTGCGGGGCTTAATTGAGAGATTTGAATTTCTTACCCTCCATTTTTTGCAAGCATTAAACAACAGATTGAAACCTATAACTGGTGGGCTGATTGTGTTGTACATAAACATTCATTAAATAGATAAAGGTGAGAGAAACTCTTGGGAAAGAAGGGTTAATTTCCCCAAACCTCTGTTAACTTTTAAATCATCTCCAGCTGAATTGTTACACTTGTGTGTGCGTGTGAAATCCTCTCTTAGCACTGAATATTAATATTCCTAAGTGAGATACACAATTTACAGGATTTAAAAATGCATGGCTGCATTTAACGACGATAATGCAAGGTCACTGAACACATGAATATTGCATTGGATGAGGTGCAGAATGTTGAAGTGCGTCTCTGTAAACATCACATTTAACAGCGTCCGTGCACATTTAATTCACATGTACACATGCCTGCCGACATGTGCATGAATGTTAGTCTCCCTAAGCAGGTGGCCCCTCTGTATGAATGTGTGTGAATGCTGACTTGTATATGCAAAAGGCACGATGAGGGGTTGTAAAGACTGGAGAAGCAGTCTAATGACCATTTAAAACCACACACATCTATATATCCCCCTCAACAACACTGATTCCTTTACAGCCGCTCAAAACTAAGGACGTGAATGTCCCCGCGAACTCTCTGTCTTTTGGGACCACCAACATGTCTGAGCAAGTATCCAACAGTTGTTAAGACAACAGTTTAGAGGGGCACACATTACCAGCAATGTGTGCCATTGAAATAATGTGGTTATTTAGAGGGTTCTGCTGCCTTGTCCGGTCTCCCCGAGCCCGTCTAGTTTCCCCAGAAACAGCAACACAACAACAAAAGCTGCACAAAGTAAGGAACACTGCTGACAACGGCCAAAAAGACTTCACTCCCTCCCTCTCCATTCAAATGAAACGCTTTGCATCAAGCCCCGGCAGGATCTCACTGTGCAAACAGACTGCAGGGCTTTAAGATAACAGAACCAAACTCATGTCATCACAGGGCATTATGGTCAAACTAACCTGAATGCCTGAGGCTGTGTGCAGCCAGGATGGGTATGCAAAGCATTCGGAGGAGGAGCTGAGGTTGAGACACTCTGGATATTCAAAAAACATATCTTGCATATCTTAATTACGTCCTATCCTGCCTAACCCTTTGATCCATAGTACCATATCAAAATATTGTGCTTTTAAATCCAGGAGTTTTCCTCCTCTCTGAAGTAGATTACACTTAATCTAAAGTGACCACACATTAAGCAAAACGAGGTGCGTCAAATGAAGGCAGTAACTCCATGCTGGGCTGCATTAGGATATTTATCATCAAAGCGAACCGCAGCTTTTAATTCATTTGACATCTTTCAGCACTAATACAGTATCTGATTTCTGAGCAGCAGCGGTACACAGTCACACAGCGGGACATCTGCAGGGAAGCAGCGGGTGTTTCTGCAGAAAAAGAGAGCAAGGCCATTATGTCTGCAGCAGATTTACGCCTTGTATCGGAAAAGCACGAGCAAGCGCCACGCGCAGATATCGCCCGCTGCTCTCAATGTTATTCAGATGACAGCACTACTCTATTTTCACCTTGCAACTAATGTGACCATTACTCCCATGTCAGCAACATTTACTGTCCTTTCTTTGTGCAAGGGAATTGGGAAATTCATTCTAAAAACAGGGATAATCCTGGGATGTGTGTGTAGTTTCTGGGATTATGGTTCCCAATTACTCTCCTCTGAAATCTCCCGTCCCATCATATAGAGGATATGAGTCCCAGAGGCCTCATCAAAAAGGTGATATGACACACATTCTCCCACCGCACTGGGTTTCATGCATTAATCTTGTTGCATAGTGTTGTAAAATAATATCAACAATGGGCTCGAGAGGGAAATATGAACATAAAATAATCTGCACTGCAGCGGGGAAAGAGGAAAGTATTGAGTTAGATGTAGGGGAAACTGGATGGTGTGTGTGAGTGTTTTTTTGTGTGTGTTTGTGTGTGTGAGGAAGGGAGGCAGGGAGGGAGAGGAGGAGCCCACCAGTAAACTCAGGAGGGTAAACAATCTCCCTAATTGGATTCAATCCAGGCTCACCACAGGAGGCGGTGAGGCTAGTGGCTCCATTCAATGTGGAGGGAAGTGTGTGTGTGTGTGTGTGTGTGTGTGTGTGTGTGTGTGTGTGTGTGTGTGTGTGTGTGTGTGTGTGTGTGTGTGTGTGTGTGTATCGACAGGAGGAGGAGAGGAGGGCGTCAGCTGGCATGTGAGAGAGGGAAAGGGGAAGAGGATAAGTGGCAGCAGCAGAGAGCAAACACAGGGCTGCAGAAGACAACAATGACAAACAGAGGAAAATAATATTGGTGCGTGAAGGTGTCTGTGGTTATGAGGTGTAGGTGTGCGTGTGCGTGTGCGTGTGTGTGTGTGTGTGTGTGTGTGTGTGTGTGTGTGTTGTGTGCACAAAGCAAGAGACTTGAGGTTTAGAGGAATGGAAGCCAGCTGTGCTTTTGCATGATTACACTGAAAACATCATTTGCATCAGGGAATGAAATCCAAACACGGATACGTATGGTTACCGACCAAAAACCCTCCTCATCGCTGGCGGCAGAAATCAAAAGGCTCAGAGTGATGTCCCACAGATTTGCATACTGAAAGGAGTACCTCTCATGAATCATTTTCATAAACATCCCATAGCACACAACGAAGAAGCCGCATGATTGGACCACATGAATGCCCTTCATTATTGCTCTGTGTCGAGGGGGGACGTGTCCTCAGAGATGTTCATTAAAAATAAGTGACATACCTTGTTGCTTCTTGAGTGTTCTCCGCACAATATCACATTCCAGATAGTCAAAGCATGCTCGATCCTGAAGGAAACAGAGAGGAAGAAGGTTTGTTTCAGTAAAACATGATGAACAACATCACATTTTCATAACGTAAGAGGTGTAATAGATAATAAAGGCAACATATGCGATGAAATCCCATGAATAAATGAAATGTTACGATGCTGCAGACTGGTGAAATGGTCTTTATATTTGCTCATTTTTATTAATTTGTGATACAAATGGGTAGAATGTTGCAAGAAATATATTTCTGTCCAATATCAGTCCATATGAAGTCTCCTCCAGAGAGTGTGTGGGGGAGACTGGGAGAAACTCCGTCTGAATTGAGCTTTGGGATTGTACCCTTAGCAGACCATCTACATGCACACAAACCAATAGAACACACTACAGGAAAGGGAATACCACCCAAAAGCACGATGGGGCCTCTTTAAGACACACAGAAACTAGTGCAACTGACATATTGATGCAAGTCAAATGCAGGACAGTTCAGCAGGAAGTACTACTTTTAATGTCTGACTTAAAGTTAACTTCCTTGTTGACATAATTACTGAACAAGGCTTGAGCACAACCATGACACAAATCAATCTGTTTTTCCTACATTCAATTGATTTGCAATATTGGTAAAAATGTTCACGATAAGATATGTTTGCTTTGCGGCAAAACATATCCCTACAAAGAAAGTGTCCATAAATAAGGAAATCAAGTCATGGCAGGAAGAACTTCTAATGTCTGCGATCATGACTTAGAGTCATCGTTAATGGGCCTGTGCACAACCATGACATAAATCAACTCTGAAGAACTAAAAGATATATGACTTATCAATGCCAGAAGTCTTAGTAATCAAAGTGGCATCTCACACAAACACCATATTTTAGTCTGTTCTGGGTCTTCCAGCATTAAGTGGCATCTTCTCATAAATGTTTCAGCTGTTGTCTGCCTCTCAGTGGGCGATAGAGCGGCTGTATGAAGAGCTATTCAGGTCACATCAGCTTTTAACGGCTGATTTATTAGAGCCCAACCGGGGCTGCAGGACAAAGAGCCTGTTTTAAACTGCATTAACACTTTGCAGTAAATATCCCATGCAACATTAGCATTTTGATGACTGCCCCCCCTCGTCACCTTTAACGTGCCTCGTTGTCCCACGCTCACATTTTACTCTCCTGCTCTGCCTCGTAGCCTATCATCTTTCTTTTTCATGTGCCACTTTCTCTCTTCCTACTCATATTCAATAGAAACCTTTGCTACTGCTCTGATGCCACTGTGCACAGGTTCACTTTAATTACGGCTGATTTAATGAGCTACATAAACGCAGGAACATTCAAATTGTATTGAGTGGAAATAAAATAGCACGTTTCTTCCACACCACCTTCGCTGAAAAACATGCCACCTCTCTCTCTTTCATTATTGTGATGCAAGCTATCTTCACATGTTGATAATTAAATCTCGACTTCAATCATAACAGCGATGAGCAGCAGAGTAATTGAGGCGTCCACAGAGCAGGTTAGGGTCATGAATAATAAGCCAAAATTAAAAAGAATAATCAGTAGTGCTGTGTACACTGTGCAAATTAACTAGATATTTTATTAGCAGAATTGGACAAAATATGATTGTACTCTAACCTATCAGGGTTGCCTGTTAACATATTTTAGAAGCACATGCTTTAAAAATGAGCGAAAAGAGTCAAATAAATCGTCTCGAACTATGACCAAATAATCTTGGCTTCTGAACAAGTGCTTCTTCAAATCTGCTCTTCATCATGTCTGATTAGATGTGAGACTTGCAGAAAGCCGGAGGTCGATTCAAAGGAACCTCTGAAGCTCATTTTGGTCAACATTGTTTGGAGAAGAACACAAAGCATATTGCAACAACTAAAAGCACAAACAGAGAGATTAAGTCCATGCACAATAGAAAATAAAAATCATATTCTGGGCAGTTCAATGTTCCATCATTTGGCCAAACCTAGTTTTCAGTAATCACAGCTATGGACCACATTTTATTTGTTACACATTGATATATTACAAAAGCGATCTCCACTGCTTCTCTGACGGAGCAGGAACATATACATCAGTTATCTTCTTATAACAATCTGTGTGGAAGTTATGGCCGCAGATGAAGATTCCTAAATATCTTCAATGAGTTGAGGGCCAGAGAAATGTAGACCATGCTCTCTAAGCCTCTCGGATGTTCATACCAGAGTTACTCAGCTCTATTGAAGTCCACGGTTAGGATGACCTGATGTGACACTGAGATATCGCGGGCACTGATGCTCGTTAATGAAAGCAGAAATGTGGAGTTATTCAGGAATGTTTTGAGTTTCAATGCAACAACACATAGAGATCAACAATTTGGGAGACATGTCTGGTATTCATCTGAGAAATATTGCAATCAAAACAGTATTTATCTCCCATGAATTGAGCTAGAGGCCTTCATTTATGCTACCATCTATAATGTGAGTGTACAAACCATCATCCAAAACTTGAGAAAAATCTTTATATCATTGATTGAGTTTTTGTATGAAGACAACATCAACATGCTTCTAAAGGCCATTTAAAGTATTTTTCAAAAATCGTTTAATGTAAAAGGCTGCAGGCATGGACAAAACTGCCAGTATTACTTCAGACGTAAAGTGACGAGTGTTGTCGGATAACTCTGCCTCGTCTTTATCTGCAAGTAAATGACTCCCTTTTTCAGAAATGTATAAAAAGGTACTGTCTAAAGCAGCATTAACACAAAAACCATTGTTTGAAAAGTTTGCCTTTGGCCCTCTTCTCTACTTATTCTTCAGATGTTGCATCACAGTACTGTTCTCTGTTTTTCTAAATTACAAAGTGATGAAACACAGGCTGGTTGTCCTGCTTTCCCTGCCATGAACTTCCACCCAAATTTGATTTCACACCCTGAAAGTGATTCATTGTGGCACAGTGTGCAAAGCACTGTATCTCTGAACTATTATTCTACTATTATTTGTACCTTTTGTGTTCAGATAAATGCTCAATTTGTACGATAAATTAATGTTCGAAATAATATCTTTCAATAGAACAAGCTACATGTTGCATTTTAGAAATGTATTAGAAGCAGCAGAATGATATTGTTATCGCAATATTCAATTTCATCGCATCTTTGACTCTACAGCTCTACAGGATGCCCACCCCATCTATTTGCAGTTTGTTTAATTGTCTGCACTTGCCATCTGCTTCTCTGCAGCTGCAGGTTATCTAACTTCTGACTTCATGTTGTTTCAAGCTAATCATGATGGAAAGTACAGGAGCCTGAATTTGACCAGGGGAACAGAAACAGGGCAGGTGTGGCAATAGTTTTCCTGCCTCAAGGCTAAAAAGTTGTGGGCATTCTTGAAATATATTAGCAGCTCTAGCACAAGCTTATTGTGTGTCCAAAAATCGTGTACGAGGAGACAAAAGACCAAACAGGAGCGAGGTGCATGCATGCAGCCACTGTATGACTGATCCGAGCCGACAGCCTGGTGTGTCTCTGTAAAAGCATTTACTGAGGCACAGCACCGCGGCCTGCCGAAAGCTCATGAAAGAGTGGCTTATTTTATCAGCCAAGTGGAAAATGTGCTGAGAAAGAGAGAGAGGCAATAGTGAGGAAGTCAGCGAGAGTAACTAAGCTATTGTACCCAGCGCTGACCCAAACACCCGCGTTACAGTAGTCACGGCCGCTCACAACAAAAGCTGTAATCGGCAGAGCAGGGCTTTAAACTAAATGACCCGGCGATGGTGACACTGTAACTGACAGCAGGCCTGTGTGTGCAGAGGCTAAAGGCACAGCAGATATGGCTAATGAGCTGAAAACGTATTGAAATGGAGGAATCTTTACAAGAGGAGGCGCCCTTGAATCAGTAACCTACATACTCCTGAGTGTAGTACTGTTATTCCACTACTTATTTCACAGATTACTCCAATGAGCTGCTCTCAGAGAGAAATAGCAGGCTGAATAAAGGCTGTCTTTGCACCCTGGGGTAAACTGCACTTCTAGTATAACAAACCATAACTTTCAGCAAATGTACTATTACACACTGTAAGGAGAAATATGAATTTATTTAAAAAATCCACAGTGAACAACTCATCACTATGGTGACGGGGGCCAATGCGCTACAACAACCCAAAACACTTCCATTCGGAGAATGGCGCTGCAGCTTCAGAGTTAGACTGTTTCATAATTGTATGTTAGCTAGCTAGCTTACAGCAAATCTGCAATAATATCAAAAGGAATTATGAGATAACATTGCGAAAATAAGATACAACTTACATTTTTGGTATGTTTCCAACAACTGTGTTGCACGGTACATCCCTGCATCAAAGTGTGGATACAAACAAGACCTCTGTTCATGTAAATGTAACACTAATTACTTTGCTCTGCTATTATCAGTTAAGTAATCAAAGCCAGTCAGGGCCTGTTCATTGAGAGGGAAGGGGAGGCTTTCCAATGAAAGTCAATGGGCAGCATTTATAATGCATGGGCAGCATCCTCGCCCCCCAGGGTCACATTAAATTCAGGGAAGCAGATAACAATAGACTGGGGCTGCTGGCACCTGCAGCGGGATAATGCATTCTTACATATTACTTCCTCATTCTTTAGTGTCAGTAGACTCTTCATTTTCTCAGCGCAAACTCCCATAGATATTTTCCTTATATTTATTTCCATCTATTATATTTCCATGTTTTCCCAGAGTCCCCATTTCTCTCTCTTACTCTGTTTCGGCATTCAAATCAGAAGCGTTGACAAGAGAAACCAAACAATGCAGCTCTTACCCCTAAGACTACCCGATAGGCTACAAGGGCCCTAGTTGGCCTTAATTGGAAAATTATGTAGCGAACGCATGTGTATTCATGTTTTTGTCCATGTGTCTGTGGAAACATAAAAGAGAGAAGTGCTGAACACACACATGGTCTCCAGTATAATGCATTCAGCTAGGGTGGCACCTCAGTTAAATTGTTCATTGGTTGGTGTATGCAAGCTCATGTGTTTGAATATTTATGCAAATATCATGTTTTCTTCAAGATTGCTTCTAAAGCCAGGACCAGATTTCACATGATCTCACCTGGATATCCCGGCTCACAGTCATATTTTAAAAAAGCTTTACGTCTACAGACCATAATACTAAATGCATGAAATGTGTCGTCAAAAACAAGCTGTCAAACGCTCTTATGGAAAGGTTCCCCTCTGCTGTTTACCTACAGGGGAATATCATTATGATAATCTGCCTCGTCTTTATCTGCAACACATACATATTCCCCACCACCACGACCAACCTTGTAGCACAACATAAAAGTCAATAGAGAGGAAAATGGTATGGGTGACAGTAGTGGGACTTGACACCATAGGTCCTTCACGAGGGTGCACGCTGTGTGCATTCAGAATGAGCCATTTAGCATTTTCGTGTGATGCTAACGCCACACGCAGAGGTACATTTGTTCCACAGAGAGTAACCGGCCAAGGCCATAGACACGTGCTCAGAGAGAGGAAGAGGATGTACTTGAAAGAATATATATCAAAACAGGAATAATAAATGTATTATGTTTATGTTGATTCAATGTTATTTACGTATAAAGACAGCAGAATTTCAGTCAATAAAATGTAAGGAAATAGGGGGGAAAAAGGCTGACTTCATGACGAATAAAAGTGGTTTATAATTAATTAAATGGATGTATGATTTGCACTCGGGTGAAAATAGATACATGGCAGCTATTCGGCTATTTACACCCATCCCAAAAAAAACGTACTGTCACTTCATGCCGTAAAGCGACACGCTTACGCTCGAAAGGGGGATTTACGACGGTGCAAATAACATTGTTACCTACGGTCACCCGGCGTGCAAATAACATTGTTACCTACGGGCACCCGGGTGTAAATAACATTGTTAGCTACAGACACCCGAGTGTAAATAGCATTGTTAGCTATGGACACCCGGGTGTAAATAGCATTGTTAGCTACGGGCACCAGGGTGTATATAGCATTGTTAGCTATGGGTACCCGGGTGCAAATAGCATCTGCCTTAAATAAAATATAAATCAATCAATATGAAGAAACAGTTGTATGGGATTGATTTGATTTTTTTTAAAGAAAAATTATAACAATAACTTGACTCAAATATCTTATATTAATGAGTAATGATTATAAACCCAAAAGTACCAACTAAAAGCTAATGTTCACATTAAATCTCCAACAATGTTTTCTAAAAAAGCAAAAACAATGATTTATTAACTGACATGCCATTTATTTTCTACTAAATAGTTGAATCATGCAACTGTTTTTGGCTTAAACATTATGAATTGATTACAATAAGTTGTTGGTTATGATTTCAGCTCTAATGTAAAACACACATAGCTTCCCCTCTCGACTCTCAAGCAGAAAATGTGCAGCTGATTGAGGCAGTGGATCGAGTTTCGCTAGTTTACTTCTCAATCCTGTTTCCATGTGCCGGCCTGTGCCCCCACCCTGACAAATATGGAACTTGACCCTCTGAGTTCTAAGGCCGACATGCACACTGAATCAAACCTTGGCATGGGGAAAGAGAGGTTTTTCCAATAAAGTGTGTGAAAGAGTGTGTGTATGCATGTGTTTATGTGAAATTCAATTGTGTATGTCTCTGTGTCTTCAGCGTAACCACATGTGTTTATTTCTTCATATACGGCTGCTTTTAGGTGTGTGTGTGTGTGCAGGCCGGGTTCAATAACCATGTGTGAAGCGGGGGGCTCTGGAGTGTCTCAGCACCCAAGGCGCCAAGGACATGGCCTGACAGGTGTGTGTGGAGGACCCAGTGGTCTGCAGCAAGCAGCACAATGTGCCCATTCAGGCCTGGAAGGAGACAAGCGAGATATCGCAGGACCCCTGTGAGGAGGGGGCAGTCAGCTGGGGGCACGTCAACCTTTCAGTGTGACTACAAAGAAAGACACAACTATAACTGCATCAGCACAGTATTGGGCTGTGACCCCATGCTGCACAGACGTCTACTGCTGTGACAGATTGAGGTTGTCTGCAGATTTTACTTCTGAAAGACAACTTGGATATAGAGGCTACACATTTGGTTTAATGGATGTATAGGGCTTATTAGGCGAATAACATTTTTGTAAAATATATAAGTAAATATCCCACACTTTAGACGCTAAGTGTCTAAATGACACTACTACTGTAGATGTCATTAAGCCCAACAGTAGCCACCTTTAGCTTAGCGGCGGTGACGCGAAGTCATGTGACCATGCTGTAGTTTCTTTATAGCCCAATGTTAGCTTTTTACTTAAAATAAATATAAAGTGTTGTTCATATGGGGAGATGATCCCGCTGCACAAAACGTGTAATTACCATAAACATTTGTTTGCCACAGAGATTGTCTGCAATAATCCTAAATCCAAAGGAGAAATCCCATTGGATTTGAAAGGAAACCAATGCGGCCTGTCAACCCTACAATGACAGTCTGCTATTTAAGAACTATTAAAGAAGGAGAAAGAACATTTGCCCCTTTTATAAAATAAAGAAATAAAGACCAATGGCTAATGATTCTGATTCTCCATTTACAAGAGAGAAAGATGCTCATTCCCACAGTTACTAAATAATAGTTTCAAATATAGCCGCAAGAATACCACACACACACACACACACACACACACACACACACACACACGTAGCAGTATTTGTTATGTGTGAAGTGTCAGCAGCAGAGAACGGCACATCAGTAAGAGTTATGACCAAGC